CATTTAAATCTATATATATATATATTTATTTATAGAAAAAGAACAACAAAAACAAACCCTTATCCCACTAAGTGGGGTCGGCTACATGAATCCTTTTTCTCCATTGCGTTCTATTGAGTGTCATATTTTCCTTTAATTTTATTAAATTAAGATCATTTTTTATACAAAATGCCCAAATCCTTCTAGGTCTGTCTCTGACTTTCTTAACATAAGTCAAATCTAATACATTTACTTTCCTAATCATATCATTAGATGGTCGACGTTTAATGTGACCAAATCATCTAAGAAGACTCTTTAATTTTGTTTGCCACTGGAGCTACACCAACTCTATCACGGATATATTCATTTTGTATTTTGTCTCTAAGTGTAAAGCCATTCATCAACCTAAGCATTCTCATCGCGATAAGACTTAACCTAGTTTTATGCTTCTCTTTGAAAGGCCAACATCAGCGCCATAGAGCATTGTAGGTCTCACCACCATCTTATAAAATTTGCTTTTAGTCTAAGCGGCACTTTTCTATCACACAATAGGTCCGAAGCATTCCTCCACTTCAACCAACCAACTTTAATTCTACCAATGACATCCTCATCCTCATCTAAATCGTTCACATCTTATAATAATTTGATCACCCATAGTTACAACTCTGTCACTTGAGTTACTACTACTAAAATTACATTCCATGTATTCAGTTTTTGTTCTACTCAAATGAAGGTCTTTAGACTATAATGTAGACCTCCATAATTCAAGTTTTTCTTAAGTTTTTTCTCTAGTCTTATCCACGAGAAGGATATCATCAGCAAAAAGCAAACACCAGATCAGTGAAAAGCATACAACAAGGTGCATCCTTCTGTAAATGTCCAGTAAGAGCATCCATAACTAACGCAAAAAGATATGGGCTTAAAGCCGATTCATGATGTAATCCAACTGAAATAGAAAAATATTTAGTCAATCCTCCTTCTATTCGAACACAAGTAACAACTCTAGTATACATATCCTTAATGACTTAAATATAAGTCATATCAACACCTTTCTTCTGTAGAACTCTCGATATCTCTTGAAACTTTATCGTAAGTTTTTTGACAATCAATAAAAATCATATGTAGATCCTCCTTATTCTCTCTGAACTTCTCCATCAAATCTCTCAATAAATGTATAGTTTCCATAGTAGATCTGCCCGACATAAATCCAAACTGATTATGGGAGATCTTTGTAATACGTCTTAAATTATGTTCGATTGCCTTCTCCCATAATTTTA